TCTCTCTCTCTCTCTCTCTCTCTCTCTCTCTCTCTCTCTCTCTCCCTCTCCCTCTGCCCCTCCCCTGCTCGTGTGCATGCTTGCACATGTGCACTCTCTCCCTCTCTCAAGGAAAAAAAAAGGAAGGGGTTGGGGAGAGAGAGGAAAGGACTAGAGAAGGCAGGTCTGATGGGACACAGGCTGCAGACAGCCAACTTTCCCTCCTGAGAAATCAGGCTCCAGAGGGCCTGTCAGCCCCCAGACCAAGTACACCCGCCTACCTCAGCAGCTCCTCAGGCCTTCTGGTTGTCTTTGACAGAAGCTCAAACAGGAACAAGGCCTGAGGGAAGAGAATGGTTGCCAGCATGGATGAAGCAGTCACTCAGTCACTGCTGAGCACTGTGTGCCTAGTACCATGAGGCCCTTGGAGGAAGACACACAATGATCCCATTTTCCAGATGGGGAAGGCTTAGGCTTAACAGGCTATGTTATTACCCAGGCCCACACAATTGCCAGGTGGTAGAGCTGGGATGTGAACTGGGGCCAGAGTAATTGCAGAACCCATGCTCCCACACCCCGGGGATTCCCTATGCTCTAGGACCCGAATGAAGGGCAAAGCCATCAGACGGCAGGCTGGAACTTTACTTTCTATGCTTTACGAAGCCGCTGACCAGGTGAGCACCCTCCGTAGCCCCTATTTCCACGCCCACCTGCTAGCTCCCAGGAAGTAAAAGTGGAAGAGACAGATGAATAGACCAGGACAGTCTAGAAAGTACCATGAATAAAGTAACTCCTGCTTGCAGCACTCACTCCCCTCCAACCCTCCCAGATGGGCACTCTAGAAGAACAATATCTAGCAGGCAGGGGAGCCGTTTGTTTTAAGGAACGTAATTTTACAGAACACCTAACTTGCAGATGCGATCAAGTATGACATTCATCTATTTTATAGACTCTGGAACTTTGAATGTAATTCCCCAAACAGAATAAATTGTGAGCCAGCATTAGGCAGAGGCATCTGTGACAGGGCAGCCAGGCCCAGGAGAAAGGAACAGCTAGGGAGGTAAGTTCCTGAAGCTCTGTGTGTAGCCCCAGTTATCTCCTCAGGTCGAATCAAGTTCTGGGACCCTCCCACAGTCTTCCCCATCACAGGAAACGGCCACTCCATCAACGCGGTTGCTGAGAAAAAATGGCTGGAAGACATCTGTGGCAGGATGTGTTTTCCAAAGTGGCCACAAATTATGCTCTTCTAGAACCTTCCAGAACCACTATCCCACCAAGAGGTAGAATCTTTGTCCTCTCTGCATGAAGCTGGGGGCAGGGCTGGGTGACTGCCTCCACAGATAGAGCAAAGCAAAAGTGATGCTATGTGACTTCCCCAAGGCGAGGTCACCAAGGTGACACAGCTTCTCATGGATCTCTCCCCTGGGAGTCCCAAACCACCCACAGAAGGCCAGCCACCCTCCATGGGAATGCATGCAGTTCCTAGGGCTGCAGTAACAAATTACCATGAACTTGGTGGCTGAAAACAATACAAATCATTCGTTCAGAGTTCTGGAAGCCAGAAGTCAGAAATCAAGGAGTCAGCAGAGCTGAGCTCCCGCCAAAGGCTGTAGGGGAGAATCCTTCCTCCCCTCTTCTAGCTTCTGGTGGCTCCAAGCGGTTCCGGCTTATGGCTACATCACTCGGGTTTCTGCCTTCGTCTTCACATGGCCTTCTGTATGCGCATCCAATCCCTTTTGTCTGCATCTCTCTACCATCCGGGTTGTCGCCTCTCATAAGGGCTCTTGTCACTGGATTTAGGGCCTGCTCAGATAACTGAGACTGGTCTCATCTTGAGATCCTTAGTTAAATCTGCAAAAACTCTTCTTCCCAAATAAGGCCACATTCCCACGCACACGTTGTGGGTGGACGTATATTTGGCGGGGGCACCGTTCAGCCCACGACATGGAGGAACATACACAGGTGGAGAGAGACGCCCCCAGCCCTTTGAGAATGCGTCCAGAATGCGACCACTGGTAACCACCCGCGTTGCCACCACCTAGTCCAAGCCACGTGTCTTATCTGGAATACACAATAGCCTCCTGACTGGTCCCCTTGCTTCCACTCTTGCTCTCAATTCAGTCCCCGTGCAGCAGCTGTGGGATTCGATGCAAACGAAAGTCAGAGAACAACCCTTCTCAAACCCTCCCAACAGCTCCTCATGTCACCCACAGTAGAAGGCAGTCCTCACGGTGTCCCTAGGGGTCCTGAAGATCAGCCCCTCCCATAACCTCTCTGAGCACAGGGAGGTCGTCTCCAGCTACCCCCGTCAAAAAGAGCCCACTGTCTACCCTTTCCCATTTTGATTTAGGTTCTCCTTAGCATGCATCATCATCTAGCACAGCTTGGGTTTTACCCACTAATCTTGTATCTCGTCTGTCTCCCTCCTTCACAGGATGGAAATTCTGGGACGGCAGGTCGTTTTGTCTACTTTGTTCACGGCTGCATCCCCAGCAACGTGAACAGCTCCTGGCATCAACTTTCGATGAGTGGATAAAATGCAGAGTTGATTGAATGAAAGTCCAGAGAGCTCGAAGAGGCTTCAGCCTCCAAAGCGCAGTCCTCCCCAAGCAGCCTCAGCACCAGCAGCCCTTAATAATATGTGTGATAACCGCTAATAGTTAGAGCCCACTGCCATGTGCCCGGTGGTATAAAGATACATCTTGCATCACTGATTCTCATGAAATCATCCCCATTTCGCACATGAGAAAACTGAGGCCGAGTGAGAAGAAGCACCCCAAAATTAACTGATAGCCACACCCAAATACACACTCAGGTCTTGTCCAATTTCTTAACACTACACTGTTTTGCCTCCTGAGTTTAATTACACGGAAATAAATTTCTTTTACCAAATTAACCTTAAACAGAACTTTCCCACAACGCAGACTCAAAAATTCAGGAGTGATCTGGGCATCTTATTACTAATAAAAAATATATACAGTAAAGTCTTAGTTTGCGAGCATAATTTGTTCCAGAAACATGGTTGTAATCCAAAGCACTTGTATATCTAAGCGAATTTCAAGAACCACTGGCTCAGTTGTGATCATGTGACATTCAGCGTCACGTGCTACTTGTATTATAAGACATTACTCTTTTACCAAGTTAAAATTTATTAGAAATGTTTGCTCATCTTGCAGGACCCTCATAGAACAAGTTACTCACAACCCAAGGTTCTACTGTATTTAGTTTTGTTTTGGTTTTTAATTTTTTTTAATGTTTTATTTTTATTTTTGAGAAATGCTCCCGCTGCGAGCAGAGGAGGGGCAGAGAGAGGGAGATAAAGAATCTGAAGCAGGCTGAGCTGTCAGCACAGAGACCAACAATGCAGGGCTCAAACCCATGAACCACGAAATCATGACCTGAGCCAAAGCTGGATGCTTAAACAACTGAGCCACTCAGTCACCGCTACTGCATTTAGCTTAAAACCCGAGGAATTTCCAAAGTGAGGAGAGCCATCAAGGTGTCTTTTGTTATGTGAATGATGACTTCAGGAAAACACCTGAGGAAGGAGGGATGTTGCAGAAAGAACCAAACACGGGATTGGAGGGTTGGAACTTTCAGTCCCACCCCCAACCTGCAGGGAGGGGAGAAGGGCTAGATGTTGAACCAATCATCAATGGCCAATGTTTTAATCAACCATGCTTACATAATAATGCCTCCATAAAAATCCAAAAGCACCAGGTTCAGAGAGCTTTCAGTTGGTGACCATGTGTAGGTGTTGGGAGGGTGGCGCATCTGGAGAGGGCGTGGAAGCCCTGTACCCTTTCCCCCATATACCTTGTCCGATGCATCTCTTCAATCTGGCTGTTCCTGGGTTATATCCTTTTATAATAAGCCGATGAGCTAGTAAGTAACATGTTTGAATTCTGTGAGCCACTCTACCAAATTAATCAAACCAAGGTGGGGGCAGCAGGGTCATTGGAACCTTCAATCTAAAACTGGGAGGTCAGAAGCACAGGGGACAGCCAAGACTGGTGACTGGCACTTGCAGTTGAGGGGCAGGGGGTATAGTATTGCAGGACTGAACCCTTACCCTGTGGGATCTGATGCTATCGCCAGTATACAGTGTCAGAATGGAGCTGAACTGTGGAACACCCACGATTCTCCGCTATGTTGGAGAATTCCTTGTTGGTGTGGGAGTCTCCAACCCCCAACACACACACATACACACACATCCAAATTGGCGTCAGAATCCTTAGTGGTCATACCTGACTCCTCCGAAGTTCCTTTTCCTTTAGGACTGTTGTGTTAAATCCGGGTTCCCTCCGTAAATTGAAGAGAGATACTTCTTTAAAGAAAGCCCCCTGTATTTCCACAATGCCTGAGACAGTGTCTCCTGCTTCAATCATCTGCCAAGAGTGAGAATAAGCATAATGACAACCTTGTAGAAGGTGCACTGAACTTTGCACAAGGCCCAGGGACTGTGTCAGTGATTCACAGGCCATAAGATCCAGCATTATCTGCTCAGCAACCCTGTGAGGTGGGGGACTTCCCTTACCCCATTTTGCAGGTAAGAAAACTGAGGCTTCATAAATAATTGGTTGGAAGTTGATAAGTAAGATTCAAAGATTCAAGCACAAGTCTGTCTTATTCAGGAACGCATACAATTTTAACCAAACGTGCTATTGCTCTCGGCAAGGTGTTGATATTTTAAGCCAAACTCCTTAAGTTTGGTCTCCTAACAGATTTTGTAACTGGACATCGCAGGTCTGATAGAACAGGATACCCAAAGACCCACTGCCAAGTGAGAATATAGGTGTGACTTTGGATCATGGAAGGGGCTTTCAGAAGCACTCTGGGACCTTCAGGATTCGTTTTTAGATTTGAAAAACTTTCAAAAATTATTATATCAAGAAACCTAATTTAACTAAAGTCTTCCGGAGTCAACTGGTGAAGGAAAGCACCAGGGTCTGGGAAGAAATATAGTGTGACCCAAGGAGCTCCTTCTGGAAAGGAGGAAAGGTGGGCACCAGGAGAAGGCATCATCTAGGTTCAGAATGCTCCCTCGCCAAAGGCTGAGCTAACCGCAGCCCTGAGTCGACAGCCCAAAGTCATAGCCCACGCACAACACCCCAAAACCACATACTCTGTGAGCCACACGGCTGAGGACGAGATGTCTTTCTCTCACCTTGCTGAGGACGCCTTGCTGCTGGGCAGGTGACAAGTCAGACACATGCAGGGAGATCGTGCTTCTCAGGACCTGCAAGAGGTCCCTGCGATCCATGCTGTAGAAGGCCTGGGTGCCAACCCCAGCCAGCAGCACGCCCATCTGGCTGACGTTGTAGAAAGACAGCACCTGGCAAGACGGGCCGCGAGGAGCGTGAGGTTCTGTTCTGGTTTCTCACCTGGCCGACACTTGCCCCTCTGCATGTTGGGTATCTGGGATGGGTACAGGGGCACCACGGTGAACAGACACATGCTGCCCTCCCAGACCTTCCTTCCTTCCATCAGAAAAGAGGTGATATCAAAACACAACACAGAGGGGCGCCTGGGTGGCGCAGTCGGTTAAGCGTCCGACTTCAGCCAGGTCACGATCTCGCGGTCCGTGAGTTCGAGCCCCGCGTCAGGCTCTGGGCTGATGGCTCAGAGCCTGGAGCCTGTTTCCGATTCTGTGTCTCCCTCTCTCTCTGCCCCTCCCCCGTTCATGCTCTGTCTCTCTCTGTCCCAAAAATAAATAAACGTTGAAAAAAAAAAACAAAAAACACAACACAGTAGGCAAGTGCTCTGCCGGGGGAAGTACCCTGCTGTCCGAGGCCACAGCACAAATATCAGAAAGTGATGATCCGTGCACCACAGCTGAGCAGGCAATAGGCTTTTGTGTGTGTGTTTAATTTGAGCTGGCTGACAACACTTAAAAACTGAGGAAACTGGGGCACCTGGGTGGCTCAGTCGGTTAAGCACCCGACTTCGGCTCAGGTCATGATCTCATGGTTCGTGAG